TTTGAAAGTACCCTTCTCCAGTTTTTCTGCCAGTTTGTAGTACACAACTTGTACTCTATAACATGCTATTTTTTAGAAAAAGGTACCGTTTAGTTTTTGAGTTTTAAGGCTGCCAATATCACAGCTGAACGTATGAAAAAGTAGGTATCTACTCTTTCATAGTTCCTACTCTTCATCGTACACCGTTTTGAGTTCGTTTATCGGTTCGCAGCACGTTAATTGGTCGAACTAAAGAAGAACGATACAGTACATTGGGATAGTTTATTAGGATATAAGATTTACGTACCATCAGAAAACTGATGGTTGCTGTGGTGTCTTTGTTCGTTCGCAGTTTTTGAAGTGAAATAGCAGCATTAAGAATATCGAGCATGTGCGATGACCCATGTTTGATAAAATATTTGAGTAACGTTTTCGCCAACTAAATGTTTGCTCACACACCTCAGTGTTTATACCGTTTAAATTTGGATTATCGTCGGGATTCATGTGACGGCGACACCATTTGCCGACATGATTTTTGAAATGCACTCGATCGATCGAGAAAATGCAAGAATTTAAATAGTTTGATTGAGAGGTCGAACGTAATTTCTTTCCATAATGTTTTCGAACATACTGTGCAAGATGACATGCATCATCATACACTAAGTTGACAGGCAATGTCATCGATATGCGTAACATGGTCATAAACAAATTTATAATTTCTTTTAGTGTTTCGGAGCGGTATATTTCGCTAAAGCCGATTATTACTGCACAATTTGTTATCACAGCAATAATGCCGAAGGAACGCAAACATTTGTCCACATAAACGGACGATCGATGCTTTGTCGTTTTGCATGATGTTGCTTGAAATCGTGTTGAACGAGCAACACATTTTCTATGTCCGGTGCTATGTCGATCTCTTGGGGGCACCGCCGCATCATCATTTGGTTGGTGCACGTGGCAGAACTGCGAGCGAGGTAATGGTGTAAACGAACAACCAACACGGATGTGATCGAATTCATCCGTTCTGATGTCAATCTCCTTTTTCTTACAAATTCATCGTCGCGATTTTTGATGCCCATCAACCACAGCACATACAGAACAGTTGTCCGAACAGCATTTGAATTTGTCATGTTGTGGCCAGAAAAACACGAAATGTTTATACAGTTGCTGAAACTGCCGGTAAAAAAATTCATTGTTTATTCCAGGTGCTGATGATGCGGGCAGAATCTGGTTGCGTTCTAAAGCGACACAACGCTTAAAACATAGTAGGTAAAGCACGTCTTAGCACACAGTTTTGATATGTATTGCAAAAACTTAGCCACAATCTCAAAACAGAATACTTTACTCCTATTCGTACTGATTTGAGCCACTTCCTTTTTGCGTAATTAAGAAGATACACTCAGAAATGTCTACAGAAAAACTTCGAAGCAAAACACTGTCACTTACCGTCTCTTGATAAATATTAAATGTTTCAAGATTATAACAATCGACACACTTTTGAAACGAAGATGCATTTGAGGTTACGTGGCATTCAAAATCTAATAATAATCTTTTTCATATGCAAATACGCCTCCTAGATATAAATATGGCGAGTTCCAGAATGCATTTGGTCTTGTAATAAATTCGTCCTTCACTCGATGACCATTGGGAAGATATTTCATATCGTCCTGCTTCGAATAATCAGTTTTGGCGTGATTACATTGGTACGAGAAGACAGTGCCGGTCTTGACAACACCGTTTGAACAAAACACTTGAACAATTTTTGATGAAACGGAGCCAACCAGCAAGCTTTTACACAAAATACAGTTGTACGGTTGAATATGAATAGAATTCACTGCTCGACAGTTCTTGTTTGTTTCACTGCACGCATACCAGTCCATAGCCATAGTCACATCTCTGTCGCTAATGATCCGTGGAATATTCGGGTTACTGAACAACGATACGATGGCTGCAACTTGATGAACTTGATAATTTCCGGCAAATGTACGATTCACAATATTCGTCAGATGTTCGAATTTATCCGGTAAATGTTGGGAAAAATTCTCATTTAATTGAAGAACAAACGTGATATGCTCCAATTCAAATGTCTCCAGAAACATTTTAAATAAATCGCAAATATTCGATGCATACTTACTTGTTGTCACTAGAGTCGCCATTACATCTAGAAAATACGAGAAAAATTTAACGAACTTATTACAGATTGATAGCCGACACGTCACACATCCAAATACTACTCATCATGAACTAAATATGCATCTTGAGAATGCTAATTGTATCGGGACAAAAGTACCTGTTTCAGTCTCAAACAAGTCAGTTAATAACCAAGAAAATATTATTGGAAATATCAATATCATCATCATTGGTTTTCTGCCCTAGGGCAGGTTTCAGACATATAATTATAAGAGCTGGTTGATGAATGTACTTGTTCTTAAAAAAATATTATTACATATATTTTGTGCATTTTGAGTTAGACAATTGCTTCGGTTAAATAACGTCTCAGCGAAAACTTTTGTATTGAAAATAACATAAAAAGTATATAAAATAATATAAATTATAATTCTATAAAAAAATCAAGTTTCTGTTAAAACTCCGTATATCTTTATTTTTTCTAAAGTTCGATAATGCGAAATATGTGAATAGAATCATCGTTATGTGGAACGTTCATGAGCTGCGTGATGAGTCACATTGTTTTGGGGAATGTTAGCATCAATATTTGAGCCCATAATTTGATTTTAGTTGGGCGAGATATGAAATATTTGAAGAAAGTCATTGTGTGAATTATTCATTAGATACGTTGTATTGCGGATGCTATTGCGGGTTTAGGTTTCGGGATGGATTGGTGGCTTTTGGGGGTGGCGTATAAAGTAGAGAGTATTTGAATGAGGCCATTGTAGTTGTGATAAGTTTTCATGAACCACTGAGTCGATGGAAAAGTGAACAAACAGCTTTCTGTTGGTTTGAAATACTTTGTTGATTTATTAGTTTTTAGTCTATCATAGACTTTAGTCTGTGATACATAATTTTCACAGGAAAATAGCCATCATTTTCATTCTCTTCGAACGTACAATTTTTAATTCTGATTCTTTTTTCGTATATGAGCACACAACCCGTTTTCTCTTTAACGAAACGAACAAAGTAAGAAAAACACTGAATTATCCAATATTCCTAGCTCTATATTAATGCTGTATCCTGCTCACTTCGCTAATTGAAACTGCAATAATTAGAGAGGACCCCTTTACATTAACAAGTACACAAATTGTAATATCTTTGCCATATTTTCGAGAAAACAGTTCCTAGCGATTTCACTGGAAAAAATAAATGTAGAACTTGGGCTTCTTTGACTACGATATTCCGAAAAGTGATCAATAAAGTTATGTTGGTCATTCCAAATTCGTGCAATTCTAAAATTAAAGTGAAATCAATATATTTTACTAACTTTAGTCTGTGATACTGAGATCTCTACATCTTAAAAGCTAAAGGAAACCTTTTTCCAGAAATTAGCTTGGCATAGAGTACAATTTGTGTACTTCAAACCGGCAGAAAAACTGGAGAAGGGTACCATCTACTTTGTTAACTTTCTAATATGGGAAGTTGCTAGAATATACACTAATTTCATAGTCAGTGCAAACTTTCTTTTGGATAAAACGATAAAATTTGTTCTTCACTCTATTTCTTGCTTTATATCTCTCTCTATAGTGTGCATAGAAGAAAAAAAGCATCTAAGTTTCATCTAACTGAACTATTACGTGGATTATATAGACATGAATGTTTTGTTATACAGTGATGAATATAACGGTAATGGATGAGTAGTTATTGTTCATCATTTGACACTTTTATTCATTAATTATCAATAGCTCTGTTTCAAGAAGATACTGACTATGGATAATAGCAGCCTTTCAACCATTCTTATTTCTGTTTTATATGCATTATCTCTCACTACCATGGCCCGAAGAGAAAGCCGGAAAGTCATGGTAGTTCAGAAAGTTCTCTGAAAACTCATTTGGCTTTATATTGGCGTAGATACCCACTTTTTCATACGTTCAGCTGTGATATTGGTAGCCTTATAACTCAAAAACACAACGGTATCTTTTTCTAAAAAATAGCATGGCATGGAGTACAACCTGTGTACTTCAAACTGACGTAGAAAACGGAGAGGGGTACATTCAAATTTGTTAACTTTTTCATCTGTCAAGTTGCCAGAATCTACACCCATTTTATAGCGAGTGCGTTTTTCCTTTTGGATAAAAACATAGAATTTGTTCTTTTCTTCGTTTGATGCTTTATATCAATTTCTATGTGGACACAGAAGGTGCATTGACAGCTCTGTATCTCAAAAATTAGACTGTACCCTTTTCTAAAAAATAGCTCGGCATAGAGTACAGTCTGTGTACTTCAAATTGTCTTAAAAACTGGAGAGGAGTACTTCCAAATTTGTTAACTTTTTAATCTGTCAAGTTGACAGAATATACACTCATTTTATAACGAATGCGATTTTCCTTTTGGGTAAAACGATAAAATTTGTTCTTTTCTTCGTTTGATGCTTTATATCTATTTCTATGTGGACACAGAAGGTGCATTGACAGCTCTGTATCTCAAAAATTAGACTGTACCCTTTTCTAAAAAATAGCTCGGCATAGAGCACAACTTGTGTAGTTCAAACTGACGTAGAAAACGGAGAGGGATACTTCCAAATTTGTTAACTTTTTAATCTGTCAAGTTGACAGAATATAGAGTAAGTTCATATTGATTGCAGTGAGCATTTTTATGAAAAGAAGAATTTTTTCACTTTTCACTTTGTTGCTTTCTATATCTGTCTCTATATATATGCAGAAAAGGGGAAAAATGAGACAGAAAGAAAAATTACACTACAAGCAGAACGAATAAAATGCGGCCTGTTTGAAGTTGAACGATGAACTATACCGTTGAATACAGTAGTATTCTAAGTGGGACTCCTAAGACCCCATTTTTGCGTGTACCCCGACGATATCTTTGCGCCGTACAACGTAACTCATCACGCTGATTCCGATTATGTAAAAATCTCAAATACCGTTCTCTAGAAAAAAATCATCAAATTTTGACACTCATTCTATTATTTTTTTCCTAAAAATTAATCCGATTATCCAATAATTAAAGTTTGAAGGAAGATTATCTCTGATTGTTTCGCTGTTCTCGTTCTTCTTCCTTTTTGCTAATCGATAATTTGGATTTATTTTGTCGCTCTCATATTTCTATATTCATGTACTTCTTTCATATACGAAGTGTGGAGGAAAAGCATGAATGTGTTTCATCAGTACCTCGATCTCTTCAGAACATATGGACTTCAACTGAAGTGTATTATACTACAGACAAAAGTGATAATACGCGAAACACCTCTCGTTCCATTTATAGTGGTGAAGTTTTGACATAGATTTTCGGTCAGACCGGGAAAACCTCAAGTTTCTACTACATTGGAGCATTCAGGGATTGATCGTGGGCTGTATGCATAATGTAATCGAAAAAATTACATAGTAATTACACGTGAATTTTCACGACGACTGAGACTGTATGAAAATGTAGCTGCTTTTCGGCGGAGAGAACGCCAATACATTGAAAAAATTATGTTGTACTAATATACCCAGGTCAAAGAATCTTACTATAAGATCTTGCAAGATTCTTGTACGATTCCGTCTGATCTCGTAAAATCCGTATAAGAGTATTGTAAAATTCTGTAAGAAACATAGAAACTGATTCTTGATGTGAGGTCTTATTGTTATGTCACGTGCTAGAGTCGTGTCATAAGGCAGAAGATCATACTCAAGGTTATTGCACAAGAATATATTCAAGGTTATGGTGCAAAACTATGGTCAAGGTTATTGCGCAGAGTCTACTCAAGACTATCGCACAACATATCCTATATAAATAGATCAATTTTATTGTTCAGGGAGATCATTTTTATTTGTAAATAAACATTAGATGAGAAAGATCTTAGTTCACCCGGGAACCTAACACTTAGATTTAAATTCCATCAGATTTCGTAAGATTCTTGTATGATTTTTATAAGATTTTATAAGATTGTGTAAGATCTTGATCTGATTTTTTGATGTGGCTAGCATCTCTCTTGTGTAGTAAATCTGCTTTTTTTCAATTCTTTTTTGAAAGTTCATACATATCCGTGATGATTAGTAACTAGCGACTTTGAAAATGCATTGTGGTCCTATGGTGTAGCGGTAGCACTCTGGACTTTGAATCCAGCAACCCCAGTTCAAATCTGGGTAGGACCTGTACTTTTTTCTTGATTTTATTTTGATATGATATAAGCTTTATTCTATCAGAATATAAGCGGAAATAAATTTCATTATAATATTCTAAACTAAAACTATTGAAAAACACAAAATCAATTTTTTGAAAAATTAATTTTCTTTTCTTCTTTCTAATCCAAAAATAAAAATGTAGACATGCTTGAGAGAATATTCACCTGCAAATTTTACGTAATTTTATTTTCAAAATAAAAATAAATGTAGAATAATACGTTGCATGATATTGACTAGTCTAAAGAAAAGAAAGATGGCATGAATAATTTCATAGTCTTGGTTCGAGCCATTACACCATCTGCGCAAAGGAACTGATACCCCGATCGGATGGACGTCTGGTACATTATTCTAGTCAAATACGATTGTGCACGTCAACAGGCACCTTATGATTAGTCTTTTGGGAAAATAATGTACGGTTCAATTATGCATAGAAGTATCTGTCGCATATTGCAGATCGCATAATTCTGTATAAGATAGAGTAATTTGTACTATTACTAATGGTAGCTTCATGAAGAAACTTAGACATCAAAGGTAGCGGGTAGCAAGAAATTGGAAAATTGTTCTAATAATTTCAATTTTTTCACCGGAAAGATGTGAGTTTAAAACAGAAGCGAGGCGGTATTTGCAATCCGCGTGAAAACCGAATTGAACGCATAGTACAGGGATTTTTGAGCAAAGAAGTTTTTCGAAAACTTTCTGCTTGGCTCAAACATGTAACCATGGACTAAAATTTTTAAAACAAGCTTTTTTGCGCAGAACTATTTATTCAGAGGTTATGATAAGGTGGCAACGAAGATCTAAATTCTGAAGTTGATGTATAATAGTTGATATTTGGTCTAGGTGGAATAATGCAAATACTAAAGTCG